CCTAGAGCCATCAAACTTTGAATAATTTAATCCTCCACCGAATAAAGGCAACTGGTTTGGTTTGGTTTTATTAGATTACGGCAAAGCACTCGAGGGCTATCTGCCTTAAGGTAGGGGTGCCTTCGCGGAGGACTTTCTAAGGGAAACTGGCTCGTATACACGTTAGACATGGGGAAAACCACGAAAAAAAAAAGGCAGGCAGCCCGTTCGCGGGATTCGAACCTCGGACCGAACTACCAGTGTTTAGCGACGTTACCGCACGGCCGCTGGTCGGTCCTAAGGGCAACTGGAAACTCTAATTTGGAATTTCTTTTCATATCTATTTCATATTTTGTAACACTTTAACGAATTTTGATTAAGAGACTTGACGATTTGAAAGCAAACAATGGCAATACCGTACGGGGAAAAATTATCTCCAGCGCGCGAGACTGTGTATCGAGAATTCAAAAGATACGCGCAATTTAAAATTATTTTGCGATATTGCTGCTGAATTGAATTTTATGGTTTAAGTGCGAAGAACAATATATTAAATAAATAAAAGAACCACACAAAACGTTAAAAAAAGCCCCTTTGGGGGGGGGCAATATAAAATCTGAACTCTTCCGGATTTTATATATTTGTTTTATTTTTTATAATAGCCGGGTGCTTTATTTAATAAGCAGTAGCCTTGCACACTACAAGGGTCTGAAATGGTTGCCATTTCATTATGAAAACACCTAGCAGGTGGCTACCGTTGCCTCCTATGAAGGGACGGACAGTCACAACCAGACCTTTTGCGGAATTCGAACTTGGGTCCATCGCTAGAGCAGTCAGGGTCACTAACCACTACACTAGCTGAACCGCCACGATCCGGGAAGCAAATCCAAGACGTTCAAACTGCTTTTATCTAACCACGAACTTCTCCAATGAACTTTCAACTGAACAAGCGCTCTGATACAGCAGATACAGTATACATCTGTCAACTTGCATGTATTCTTCAGAATTTAAATTAGAAACCAGTTAAAGTTATGGCAGCCTCAGAGTTTTCAACTTCCCCGATTTAGGTGGAAGAGTCCCGATTTCTGAACATTCTCCCGCCTACCCGATTTTTAACATATTTCTTCCGACATTCTCTTCTTAAAATTTCTCACGATGTTCATAGAGCTTGTCTGAGTACTTCGATATTTGCCCCCAAAAAATGATTTTTGGTGTCTAAAAGCGCTTGTTTCTTCCTAAATGCATATAAATAAAGACCTAAGCCGTTTCATCATTAAGGTATGGTGCGTTTCTGCTTTGTGTATGAGAGTTCAAAAACGAGGTGTTCCAGTTCTCCGATGAGAATAAAGCGTCGCTGCTGGTCATCCAAAAACTTTCTGTCCACACCTTAAAACAGATTCGACAGGCTTTAATAATAGCATAGCTAATTATTAAAACTTTGAAAGAAAGTGCAATTCTTCAGGATGATAGCGGAGCACTTAGTGCCGTACCCGGAATTCTAGGCTTGAAGATTGTTGGGTTAATCTTTGGAATATGGTAACAGGTAGTTTGGCGACATTTTGGTAAGGCGATAAAGGTTACTAGCTAGGACTTTAGCAGTGTACGTGGATAAAGTCAAGAGTGTGCGCAGTGCCATTTTTGTGCAATTTTGGGATGTTTTTTTTAAGTGAAAATAGGTCGACGTGTACACGGATACAGTGTATGTGCAATTCTTTAAAACGCGGCAAGCAGTTTGCGATTCAGCACTTTTGTTCCATAAAAGTTCCAGCATAAGCGTAATTCGGCTAGAAGATTGTTAGAAAAAATGTTGAGTTAAAAAAAAAAATGCCTTTAACTTCGTGAAAACAATGGCGTCCAAACAAAAACTAGCAGGTTGCTGTAGCAGAGTTGGTCGCCAAATTTTCGCCAAAAATCGCCAAGTTACCATAATCCAAAGATTAACCGATTGTTGTTGCAAGCATCTTAGAAAAAGAAAATGCACCTGTCACCTCTTAAATTTAGCAGTGAAAAAAAGGTTTGCTTCTTTGCCAATAAGTGCGGTTGATCACACTGTTGATATTTATTATTATCTTGGAAAGATTGCTAAAAGTAAAACGAAAATTGAAACAATTCCAACAGCTACATAATAGTAAAATAAGAAAACATCTGGAATATATATGTGCGCGCTGGTTATCTTTACAGAAATGTTTAGTTCAAATCGTCGACCATAACTTATTTTAATTACATATTTTAAGGAAGAAGTAAATGGTTTTTAGAGTTCAGATAAAAGGCCCTGCTGAAAGTTATAAAATACCTTCAAGTAAATGGAGATGTAGTTATTCCTCCCATTGTTAAAAACAGGTGTGAGAAATATTAAGTAATTTCTTCACCTGCGAGCAATTTGGTTGGCAAACTCGCAATATAATACCACAGAATATAAGCCTAAAGCTCTCCCAAAATTAAAATATCTCTTGACAAGGGACACGTTTTCGGATTATCTTGTAAATTATACGATTAAGTTTATCTTGTAAAGAATGAATATATATATAATATAATACCACAGAATATAAGCCTAAAGCTCTCCCAAAATTAAAATATCTCTTGACAAGGGACACGTTTTCGGATTATCTTGTAAATTATACGATTAAGTTTATCTTGTAAAGAATGAATATATATTAATTTGCCTTCAGACCTTAACAAAAATATTTTTCTTTTTTGTAAGCTCCATCTTGCTATCAATCGATATTCTTAACACAATTCTATGGTGCAGAAGTACATTAATTCTGTTTTGCAATCAATGATTAGTGATCTGTTTAACGTATTTAACGATTAGGAGAACTATTAATTTTTTTTTAATTTAATGTTTCTTTTTCATACTGGACCTTTGTCGAGAGGATTTCGACGTTTGTCGAGAGGTTTTCGAGAGGACATTTGTCAAAAATACTTTTGTTTTCCGGTACATTTAAAAGCCAGACGAACGAACCTACGAACATGATGTTTATAGTACACAGCTTAAAGGTATCAACGATAAAACCAGCTGGTTCCCTGATGTCAATTACGCAGAATATCGGAGTCTTAAAGCACATTTCAGTATTTCTCTGATGGAAAGTAGGCAAATTTATCACTAATAAAACAAAATCTGAATGCTTTCAGATTTTACATTGCTCCCAAAGAGGCGTTTTTTAACTTTTTGTGAGTTACCTTTATTTATTAAATATCATGCTCTTCGCACTTAAACCATAAAATTCAGTTCAAGAGCAATATCGCAAATAATTTCAAAAGAGCATATCATTAGAATTTCCGATACATAGTCTTTCGCGCTGGATAAAAGTGTATATTTTTTCGTTCAGTGTTGCCATTGCTCGCTTTGAAATCGTTCAGTTTGTTAATCAAAAATTCGTTAGACGTTGACAATATATGAAAAATTAATAAAACAAATTCTAAATTTGGGCTTTCAGATGCCCATATTCGAGTGGAGGACTATATTATTCAAAATTTGATATTTCTAGGCATCGTTGGTTTTTCCCAGTGCGAGACGCATACATACATTCATGCATATTCTTCATTATTTAATTTCTTTAAATATAATACACGACTCTAATAGCTGACAAATTCTGGGCAAATTGATCCTTTGAGCTTAAAAAAATACCGGAAAAAGCAAACATCACTAGTTTTATGCGTACTGTAAAGATAGCATTTTTAATTTTATGCGGTATGTATGCGTACTGCGCAGGCTACAGAACGAGGGAAAATTGTTTATCTTTAAACACTTATAGTATTTACTAAATAACATCATATAATCATATTCTACCTGATATTTAGAAAAGTTTTCCGTGTATCTCTACTTTGCTTTTCTCAGTAGCAAAATGCAGTTAAATTTCTCTTTGAATACTACTTTAAATTACATTTCTTTAGAAACTAACTGAATAATGCTTTTCCATTTAACAATTCTTCTATTTTGATGGAAACAGAATTCTGATAAAAATTTAATTCGAAGCATATCTCCTTTCTGCGTATTATTTTATCCTGCATAAATTTATTATTTGATACCATTAAACGCATTTTGTCTTGTTATTTACGAAATTCCGTGCACTGTCTTTATATTCTTAAAATAAATGTTTCCCTTTAGATGGAGATTTCCCTCCTGAATGCTGGATCTTTTGTGAAAGCTAACTAGATTTCCGATTATTTTTCTCTGCTTTATACATTCCTAGAGTCTGTCCATTCAGGATGTTCTTGATCGATATTAATTTAATGAATGTTCAAGAAATGTTTAACAAAATAATAAAACTAATGTTCTAATGGTTTTAGATTTAAGGGCTTTTATTAACTTTCCACTTAATTCAATTTTCCACCAAGTTTGTGGATTAAAAGCATGCATTCAATGTTTATCGAAGCAAATGCGTATTTGCATTGCGAAATTAAAGTTAGTTTAGGACTCATCATTGGTAATACGTTTCTTAAAAAAGCAATCGAAAAGAAGGGAAATTAGATACAATCTGTATTTAAATTATCTCGGAATTAATTTTTTGAAATATTTCCCATTTTTTTGAAAAATGTTTTCTTCAGCGAAGCCTTACTCTGTTTAAAATTAGTTTAGAATTGGCATGTTTCGAATACAATTGTGTTCGCACATTTTTCAGACAATTTTTATTGTATTTACACAAATATTTTGCCTAAATTATTTGTGTTTTAAATGTTCTCTTTGATAACCTGTATTCTTTACTCTCTTTCTATGCCCTAATTTAAGAGACAATAAAGCCTTTTTTAGTAAAGGAAGAGGTATTTATCCCAATCCTCTTGAACAGCTTTCCAGAGTCCAAAGATGGCTGTAGGTCGAAGCTTGGATAATTCGCCTTAAAGTCCAAAAGTGAAAACATTCATGCATGATACGTCAGGAGATTTAGTAGGGGTATGAGTGAAGGGTATGGCTTTGATACCCGTTTCTTGTTCCATTTTTTTAAGGAAATTAACAGAATTAACCTTGGATTTTGACATAAGGCTGTTTGCTTTGTTTTGATGCAGTTCTATTGATTGATCCCACTATGGGTAAAGAGAAGGCATTTCATTTTTGAAAATTTGATATAAAATATGTTCCAGAAAATATGTGTAGAATACATTTTACCATTTTTTTCCATTCTCTTCATGTTCAATGGGCCGTTATATAGAAACCCAGCGACAAACATAAATACGTTTAACAAACTTTCTTGAGATTCTTTGAAAGATGTTTTAAGATTTTGTTGTCTTGTTTGATGATAATAAATGGATCTCCTTTTATTTCAGTCATTTAAATACACGCAAAGTTCGTCTATTATGACAACTTCCATTTTTATCTGGATAAATGTTTCTCATAAAGAATTCTGCAGCGCCCTCTGCGTTCGCTAATATGTCGTGGAGAAAGATGATGCACATTACATTTTTTCATCTTTTTAAGATTCAAATAAGCATCAATCCCTTTGTTTACAGTTTACACTGGACATTTTAATGATTATGCAACAGTCCTTTGAATTCAAAGATTACCTTTTAACATTAAAGTTCTTACCTTTGTAACATTCGACACATTCTGTTTATTCATGGGATATGTATTTGGAACAAGGCTTGAAGCCAAACTCTGGCGTTTTCTTCCTTTCTTATTGACAACATTATCTATCGTTGCTTCAAATATAGAATTGAAAAAAAAATCTGAAGGTTTTCAGATTTTATATTGCGCCCAAAGGGGCATTTTGTTAACGTTTTTCTCTGTTACTTTTATTTATTAAATATCATGTTCTTTGCACTTAAACCATAAAACTCAGTTCAACAGCAGTATTGCAAAATAATTTTAAAAGAGCATTTCTTTAGAATTTCCGATGCACAATCTCGCGTGCTAGAGATATTTCTTTTTTCCGTTCAGTGTTGACATTGCTCGATTTGAAATCATTGAGACAATCAAAAATTCACAAAAGCTTTACAACATATTAAATAGATAATAAAACAAATTCCAAATTCCAAATTTGGACTTCCAGATGCCCATTTTTGGGTGGAGATGATTGTTATTCAAAACTGGATGGCTCTATAGGTACCGTTGTTTTATCACGATGCAAGAAACATACAAATATTTAATGCAGATTCTTCAGTATTTAATTTCTTTGAATATAGTGCAGGGCTCTAATATTTGGTGGCAACAATTTGAAAAATAAACCACGGCTTTTACAGCGTTTTTTAGTAACTAGATACGAATAAGTGGATAAACGTTCATCCACTGCTTCTTGGCGCCATTTTGTATGAAAACAAAACTCCCAAGTAGCAGACGATAATTTATACTTTAAAACGTTTAAAATCCATTTTTTATACAAAGCAAATTCAAATAACAACATCCTCTGTATTATGCGATTTTATAGAATATAATGAATTAAGTCTTTAATGTAATTTAATTTAATTCATTGAACATAATGTTAATTACTGTAATTATTATTACTTTAGTGTTTTTATAATATGTGATTATAGTAGAAAATGTTTCGTATGTTATTTATTATCTGCTACTATAAACTTACTTATAGATATAAATCTTTCAGCTGCAACAGTAACGCAGCTGTAATTAAGTTGTCAGGAGAATTTATTATACTGTTCTTTCTCATTTTAGTTGTTGCCCAGAGATATGAGATACGTCTCTTCGACGAATTTGTTCTGCGAGGCAATATGGCTGTTCTTCGGTGCCCGATTCCGAGCTCTGTGAGTGATTATGTCACCGTGACGTCATGGGAAAGGATTGATGGTTTTATGATTACCCCAAGTATAGCAAACGGTAAGCATGCGCAAATTACCCTCAACAAAATATCAAAAAAAAATATCTTTTTCCCAATTTTTAACTTTTTAAAAGCTATTTATAAACATAGTTTATTAACTGAGAATATTTACTTTAGAAGTATAACAAACTGTATGATATAGTTTCGTCTTTGCTTTCACTCACAATAATCCAATTTCATAAAATTAAAAGGGATTTGGAAAGTTTCATATTAATTTCAGACAAATAATTTCAAACCAAAATTCATAGATTTTCTTATTTCTTAGTTTTAAGGCTTCATTCTAAATTTCTTAAATACGTGGCTATTTAGGGTTAAATAATTTTGTGATTTTTAGTGAATATTGGATTTAAATAGGTTACTAAATTGCTGCAGAACACATTAACTCTGCCTACTCAAAAGAATAGATTTTATAGGAAACATTTTAAGTGTTAAAATAAGTTACATCTATAATATTGAAGCTAAATTATTGACGCAATTGATTAAAATAAATAATCAGTTTAAATACTAAACTAAATCTTTTCTTTTTCACGTCCTTAGTTTCAATATACAGATTATAAATGTAAATGACTTCGCAGCCGAGCGGTAAAGTCCCTGAACTCTAGTAGCTCGGTACGGGGTTCGAATCCCTGCTGTCGGACTGGCTGCATGGGCATCCACCATTTCCCCTATGTGTAACTTGTATACGAGCCAGTTTACCTTAGAAAATTGTATTTGTAGAATGTCCTACAGGAAGGGATTTACAGGAAGGGATTACTTCCCTTCCTGTAGAACATTCTACAGATAATCCACCAGCGGACGAGCGGTAACATTGCTGGTAGTTCCGACCTGGGTTCCGAATCCAAGCAAACGGGCTGACTGCACGGGCGTTTTCGCGATTTTCCTCATGTGTAACGCGTGTATACGAGCCAGTTTCCCTTAGAAAGTCTTCCAGACATCCCTTCCTTTAGGATTAAATTTCCATTCTAGCAGGATATTGAAATCAGAAGGGAAGGAAAGTCTCTTAAAATAAAATTTTTAAAAAATTATTAGTACAAAATAAAGTCTTTACAACTCTAAAATAATGTTCATCTCTCACACCCTTGAATTTTATTGCACAGATTATTGGGCGATCAAATTCTGCTTTGAAACTAGCAAATGGCCTCACAAGGGCAAGTTTCCAAAGTTTGCCACAATTGTAAAATCAACTCTGAAACTTTTTCACTTACACATTACGCAACCAGACAAGTTATCACCGAAGGTCCCGTATTTCTTGAGGTTCGTCCATGGAATACAATTCTCTTAGAGAATGCCCCTCTTTTATGCCCTCTTCCCTCGTGCATCAGCTATATGTTAAAGAATATATAAAAACGTAAAATTTTATCTTTGCATTTTTGAAGAAACTAAATTGTATTATTTTAGAGATTGGATGTTTCAGTAAAACATTTTAATTTTTAATTTTGTTTCATAGGTTTCATGCTTAAATTATATATAATATTTACAGTTTAACTGCTTAGTTTATGATATTACTCAGTTGCCTTTCCTCGATGTTTCGATGAAACTTAAATAAATTTAAATAACTGTTAATGCAATTACAAGCCGCTTCAAGATAAAAATTTAATTATGTCATTATCAACTCAAAACAGAGTTCAGAAAACTGTGAAAATGTGAAATTGAAAAAAAAAAAAAAAAAAAAATTGTGAAAAGAAAAATGTGAAACCCCGAAGTGATCAAAATTTTATCTCTTGAAAATACTTAAATTAAATAATTTTAAAAAACTCTGAAAGCTTTCATATTATGTTACGTATTTTGGAGCCTTTCTTAACATTTTGTGTGTCACCGTTATTTATTAAATATCATGTTCATTGCACTGAAAACAGCAATATTACGAAATATATAAAAACAGTATATCTTTAGAGTTTCACGCAGTCTCACGGGCTGGAGATAAAAATGTTTCTTTCCCAGTACAGTGTTGTCATTCTAGCTTTGAAGAGTTTGAATTTGTTAATGAAAAATTCACTTTCACAAAATATGAAATAGGTAAAAGAACAAATTCGAAATTCAAAATTCGAGCGTCGAGGTGCCCATTTTCGAGTAGAGGATTACGTTATTCAGAATTTGATGGCTGTAGAAACCTTCGTGTTTTCACAATGCGAGAAACATAATATTTTCATGCAGATTCTTCATTGTTTGTTTTCTGAAAATATAATGCAGGGCGATAATATTTGTCAGCAACAATTTAAAAATTGATTCGCCATTTATAGTGAAACGCCACAATATGCCGTTTTGAAAATAATACCCCTTCTGGGTTACAGCCGCTTTGGACTAAAAAAATGCATCGTTTTAAGAGCTTTTAACAATCTGTTGGTATTTAGAACAAGCAAATAAAAGTAATCTTTTATAGTTAGCTTTTGTAGAAATCGCTCAGATTAAACGGATTCAGTAATTCAAAGCAATATAACTAGCTACTAGTGACTGCTTCATTTTTAATAATACAGAACATATCGAAATAACTAAATTATAGTCAAAAGTGCTGTGCTGTTGACTTCTTCACGATTCTTTGGAAAAGGTATGTTACCTCTGGTATAGACTTAGGAAATACCAATCCATTGTTAACGGTCATATTTCAGTGATAAAGATTATTAGCCCAAAGGGCGTTAGCCCAGAAGGCCTATTAATTTCGTTTTGGCATTTTGCGTTGATTTCCTGTAAATGCCATTTCACTTTTAAATTGTTTCCACCAAATATTATCGCCTTGTGTTAGATTTAAAGAAATTTAATAATGAGGAATTTGCATGAATGTATGTATGTTTCTCGCATTGTGAAAAAACGACGGTACCTAGAGCCATCAAACTTTGAATAACGTGATCTTCCACCCCGAATATGGGCATCTCGAAGCCCTAATTTGGAATTTGAAATTTATTTTCTTATCCGTTTCCTATTTTATAACACTTTAACAAATTTTTGATTAACAAACTCAACGATTTCAAAGCAAACAACGCCAATACTGTACGAGAAATCATTTTGATCTCCAACGCGCGAGACTGTGTATCGGAAATTCTAAAGATATGCTCATTTTAAAATTATTTTGCAATATTGCTGTTGAATTGAATTTTATGGTTTAAATGCAAAGAACATGATATTAAATAAATAAAGATAATACATCCACACCAAGCTTTAAAAAAAAAGGCCCGTTGAGCGTAATATAAAATCTAAAAACCTTCAGATTTTTTTTTTCTTTTTTCTTCTTAGTGTTTGTAAAATTAAGTAATTTCGAGAGATTTTAAGATTTTTTTTCGTTATATAAAGAAACTGACCGCTACCTTTCGTTGTCAGCTAATATACTTAAAGCACATTATTTGACTTTACAATGATTGTAATACATCCCATTCACTGATTGGTCATTTTGCTTGCGAAATTTATTCCTTTCTTTTTAAACATTTGATAATGAAAGGTTTATATTCTTTTGTAATTTCTAAAGGAAAAAATTTAACTTTTAATTGCTAAATTCTATTTTTTAAATGCTACTTTTGAACTGCTAAATTCTATTTATGTATTGCTTCTCTCTTTACACTTATCTCGGACGATACATTCTCAAGCTGAGACGATAAAAAGAAATTTTTACGTGTTCCACTAACGATAGATTATTTCTAATTGTCTTTTTTTACCTTCAGTAGCAAATCACGTTCGGTGGCGAATAATGTTTATTACATTGCAAATAAGGCCGCCGAATGTTTTAAATTCGCTCCCATACTCTATCATGTTTAGGTTACTTTTCCACATCGTTTGAAGCCCGTCATTAATTATTTATGTATATTTCACTATGTTTACTTACTGCAATAAGCGAAAGTAAATTACATGGTCTGCATCGCATTTCAATGTTACCATAGGAATTTGGAACTGCCTTTTATGTAAGGAACAGCCCTGGAAACGATTTCTGTCTGGTTTGAATACCTGATTCATTCATGTAAATGTAAGCTTACAAGATTTTGCAGCACTGTTCTGAATTATAACGCAAATAGTATGGTAAATTTACTCATCTTCTGACTGCATAATTTACGTTTCGTGACGATGCAGTCATGCTATGACGTAGCATTAGTTATAGCGTGCTCGTCAAGCTATTTGACAAGTTCCTTGTGTAAACGCCTAGAATTAGGGCGTTATTTACGTTACTACTTATTTCAACCATTGAGTAGAGTTGAAGGCTTGGGATAAGTGACAGAGCATTAAATGATGTTTGCTGGACATATTTTCACTTAAGGTAATGATTCAAACAACGTGGAAGGTAAGAGAAATATATCACGAACATAAATCTGTTAATAGGTTACTTGATATTTTGAGATAGCAAAAGTCTACAGTGAAACATTTCGCAAACTTTGGTTACATGTACCACTAATAGTACGTTGTATTCTTTTTGGGGGTACAGTTTTTACGCAAATGATTTAAATAAATGTCCAGAATGAATATAAAATGGCGCCTCTTTTGTTACATATATTAGTACAGTATGTTATGTATATTTTTTATTCTTGGTGCAAAATTTAAAAAGTTGAATATCCTTTGTTATAAATTACACAAATAGTACAAAAGGTTTAACATAAGTATAGAAGTAAAAATTATTAGGTATAAAAGGATAATAGTATAAAAAAAACTGTTTAACTAAAAAAAGTTTCAGTTTCAGTTTTTTCCCCCCTTCAGAAATGCGTGTTTATACTTTTTACAACCGATTGCTTTGTACAATGATACTTCCGAATATGGTTGTACAAATACATATGTTGAAGTGATCTTACCATTAGACAGTTATTGTAGAATACAAACTGTACAGTTTTTCCCAAAAATCAAAACATAATTTGCAGTTCATTTTGGATGTACCATAGAACACTGTGCGTACACCTTTCAAGAGACCATTCAGACAGATGAATGAAAAAGACGTACAAATGAAATTTTAAATGACGATGTCAAACATATATATATATTAGTTGCACAGTTTTGATATTACTAACCCACTACTGATATTACAAAGTAT